GCGGCGCGCTCGCCCCGCGCGGCTCTCGGAGGCGCCGGAGCGCCGGAGCGCGGGGCTCCCCGGGACCCAAGCCGCCGCGGCTTCCCCTCGCCAACCCCCGCTCCGCCGTCCCCTCGCCCTCCCGCCCCGGCCATGGCTCTGGCGGACAGCACCCGAGGATTACCCAACGGGGGTGGAGGCGGCGGTGGCAGCGGCTCGTCGTCGTCCTCGGCGGAGCCGCCGCTCTTCCCGGACATCGTGGAGCTGAACGTGGGAGGGCAGGTGTATGTGACCCGGCGCTGCACCGTGGTGTCGGTGCCGGACTCGCTGCTCTGGCGCATGTTCACGCAGCAGCAGCCGCAGGAGCTGGCCCGGGACAGCAAGGGCCGCTTCTTCCTGGACCGGGACGGCTTCCTCTTCCGCTACATCCTGGATTACCTGCGGGACTTGCAGCTCGTGCTGCCCGACTACTTCCCGGAGCGCAGCCGGCTGCAGCGCGAGGCCGAGTACTTCGAGCTGCCGGAGCTGGTGCGTCGCCTCGGGGCGCCCCAGCAGCCGGGGCCGGGGCCGCCGCCGCCCTCGCGCCGCGGGGTGCCCAAGGAGGGCTCGCTGGGCGACGAGCTGCTGCCGCTGGGCTGCGCGGAGCCTGAGGCGCAGGAGGGCGCGTCGGCCGGGGCGCCGTCGCCCACGCTGGAGCCCGCCGGCCGCAGCCCGTCCGGGGGCGCCGCGGGGCCGCTGCTCACGCCGTCCCAGTCCCTGGACGGCAGCCGGCGCTCGGGCTACATCACCGTCGGCTACCGCGGCTCCTACACCATCGGGCGCGACGCCCAGGCGGACGCCAAGTTCCGGCGGGTGGCGCGCATCACGGTGTGCGGCAAGACGTCGCTGGCCAAGGAGGTGTTCGGGGACACCCTGAACGAGAGCCGGGACCCCGACCGGCCCCCGGAGCGCTACACCTCGCGCTATTACCTCAAGTTCAACTTCCTGGAGCAGGCCTTCGATAAGCTGTCCGAGGCGGGCTTCCACATGGTGGCGTGCAGCTCCACGGGCACCTGCGCCTTCGCCAGCAGCACCGACCAGAGCGAGGACAAGATCTGGACCAGCTACACCGAGTACGTCTTCTGCAGGGAGTGAGCTCCTCCGGACCCCTCGGCCCCCCTGCGCCCGCCTCCCCGCCTCCACGCTGGGGGTGGGGACAGGGCTATGGATGCCCTCGCCCCTCGATGCCCTCGCCCCGTCCCTGCCGTCCGCTTCCTTCTGCTTCTCCCCCAGCCCCTCTGCAGCTCCCCCACACCCAGCAGTGCCTCTCCTTGAGGATCTGCAGCCACGGCTCCTCCGGGCTGCCCGGGAGTGCCCGGAGGTAGCCCCGCACTCACGCTCCCGCCTCTCCTGGCCCCCAGCCACCCCTTCGCCCAGGTTGTGGGGGGTCAGTGCAGGCGCTGGGTCACCGAGGACCCGGGAAGGACTGAACCCGACCGCGCCGGGCCCAGCGTGCCGTGCCGAACAGCCCGGGAAGTCTTCAGCCCTTTGACTCTGTAGACGGTCCAGCGAGGAGAACTGAGGGCGCCAGGCGCAGATAGTATTTGAAAGGGTTTTTTCTTTTTTCTTTTTTCTTTTTTTCCTTTTGTAAACTTGATCCTCATTAGAGAGATAAAGTTTAGACAACCGTGTGGAAGACCGTGATGGTGGAAGTAAAACCCCGTGGAGGCAGTTCAGAGACTGTAAATAAAGCGATTTTTTTTTTTTTCTTTTTAAGTTACAGGTGGAAGTAAATTCTAGTACTGGTAACGGGGGGCGGGGAGGATTCTGTTTTCCTCCCCCCAACAACAGATCTCCTGTGGCTTAAAATTGTCGTAAGCGATCCTCCTGCCTGCAGAGGCGCCCTATCTCAGCAGCTGTTGGGCTGTAGCTTTTGTTGGTTAAAGCAGCATTTCCAGGCTGGGAGCAGGGAGCAGGGAGCAGGAGGCAAGGCTGCCCCCCCCCCCTCTCCGAGCTGCAGGACTGAGTAGCGCAGGAGCCGTTAGTAGGAGGACCACACAGCCGTGAGGTCTAGGACTGGTGGGAGGGTTGGGGAGGGAGGACTGGGAGGAAGGGCGGGAGGGAGCAGAGGACGTCCTCACTTACTGTTTGAAAGTTGGAAGTTTGTATCATCCACTTGAGTACATGTGCATTTAAAAAAATATGAAACAGTGCTTAGATTTTATCAACATTAGTACAAGACCCATTTCCAGCTGAAAGTTTATCGAGCTATTTTGAGTCCTAAACCTTTACGTTGCCAATACTTGCATAACCTAACCAAAGAGTTACCTAGTAGAGTTTTAGTGATTTGAACGTTTTATTTTCTTGTTGATTCTATTTCCTTATTTTATAGCCTATCTACTTAAGGAAAATAAGTTTTAGTTACTTAGACTTAAGATCTCTTACTGTTACTGTTATTTTAAAATTGCTGTTTTCTCCAAGCCCAGCAAATGTGGACTCCTGGGCAGTTCTGAAAACCCGAACAACGCCTTTTCTTTCTTGCGTTTGTTTGATATGTGCAGTGGAACCCTTTCAGGCAACAGCGGGAACGTAAGCACCAGAGCTGCCCATCTGTAGATAGCTGTGAAGTGGAACGTTTTTAAATGAAGGCAAATAAATACTTGAGTGTGAGCTGAGCAATAACACAGTGTTTGGGATAAATGCAACAGAAACAGGAGACCTGGTTGCCTTATGCCTTTACTGTCATGTGGAAAGAATTGCCAGCGTGTATCCTGTGTACACCACAGCTGAAGGGAGGCGAATCCCCGTGGGCTTCTGGCTGAGAGGCATCCTTTGAATAATCTGTGTTGATGGAGAAGCCTTTTCCCCCCATGTGTTTGTTTTATCATCTTTCTCTGAAGTATGTTTTTAAAGATTTTGTAAGAGTCATTTTAAGTGTTTAAATTAGTGCTGTTTTTCCTTTTTTTTTCTTTTTTAAATGTACCCTGTACTGTATATTTCACTGTGTCCACGGCAGATGTTATTAATTGGAACAGTTTTACTCTAAGACTCATGTGATCCAATCTGTATATACCATATATAAACATTTTACACGAATCATTTAGTTTTTTAATTCATCTACTAGTGCTGTAAAGTTTCCTGTACTTACCCCTGATAACTTGCATTTGATGGTTTATATTCAAGAGTGACATGATTTGCTGAGTTTCTCATATCCTTGCCTCTGAGCATGAGTCAGGAAAACATTCACAACTATGAGGTTTGGTTTGCTCCATCCATTTTTGCTGAGATATGTCAGTTAACTGTCTACCTATATTCAGACTGTTTGCCTTTTTAGTCCACCAATGTTCTCATTTTAATTGGGAGAGATTTAAGCTCTTTTGTCAGTAACTTTTTTCTTTCTTTCTTTTTAAAGAAAAGTTAGTTTTATGTACAAAGTTGGCAGTTTTAAAGAAAACGAAGCAGGGTTCCAGTAAGTTGTGTTTACTTCAGTGTCGAGCTCGTTTTTAGACGGTGGATCAGGTAAGGGATCGGAACCTTTGTTTCAAGCCTGATATGGCTTAGGACTGTCACTCACTGATCAAAGGCAAATGCCATAGGCTTTTCTATGCCATGGTACCCTGTTAGAGTGCTTAACAAAGAAAAGCACAGTTAAGAACATCTTTAGGACAGAATAAAATACATTGATGGCAAGTCGGAAATTCTGAGTCCCCTTGTCAAATCTACACAACTCTAGGACCCATGAGAAAATGCTGTAGTTGTGTCTGCATTCAAGTCTTATGAACTGTATCTTGGAAAACTATTGGTCTCACTAACACTTAGGTGTCTTGTACCTTCTACCACACCCTGGCTGGACTGTTATTTCAAAGACTGGGAATTTAATATTAGGGACAATAAATGGACCTCTTTTACCGAAAGTGACTGTGCTCCCTGCTGTGGAAGCCATTGCATGAAAACTTTCTACTTTTTAGCCCAAAGTCAAGTTTGAGCAGTCACCTTATTCTATGATAGGTAAATATGACCGAGTCAGGTCATGCTTGGCATAGGTACTTTCCCTCTATGGGCTTTGGGATTTAGAAGAAACCTTTATGGCTTAAAAAATGTCCTAAAGTATTGGTCACCATGAATTCGGCTACTCTACAAAAAGAATTAAGACTCAAAAATATCTTTGAAATGACACAGGAGAATGTTATAAACTATTCAGATAATTATGACTGCATTCATGTCAGAGAGGCAAGCATTTGCATATGTTAATAAAATTACCATTTGATGCTGATAAATAATGGAATGACATTAGATTTATAGCTAATTTTTAAAAAGTGTTGACAGTCACTGTGGTTTGAAAAAACAAAACAAAACAGGCACCATGTTTTTATCAGGTGTTTGACATACCTGGTTTTTAATACATGTTCATTATGAACCCCATTCATTGTAAATTTTCAAACATGTAGAGGAAAATATTCTTTGAAGGTATGAGAAAGTTTTTCCCCCTTTAATACTGTTTTTATTCTAGTGTTTGTTATTTGGGATTTTCAATTGATAGCAAAGTGATAATACTAGCCCAAATTGTCTTCTTTTTCAAAACCCAATATATGTATTCGTATACATATATATATATATATATATTCAATGTCTGTATGCCTGCTGTTTCTCTGAGGAAATATATGATGTGTGAATACTCAGAGAAAACAGACAGTGCTTACAGCATATTATAATTTTTATTGTAGTTTCCATGGAATGTTGTTATTACATTAAAGCCATGTATTATGAAGCTTTGATAATTTTTTAACTATTCAAATTATGGTAAATTTCAATCTAGTATTAAAATAATTTTTTGTACTCCTACATGTAAAATAAGTTATCATGCAGATATTTAGAAAAATATTGAGTGAAGTGAATTCCTTAAGAATTTCTTTTACAGTTTTAATTGCAAGTACGATAAAACTGACATTTTACAAAATAGTAAACTTTGTATTTTTATTGTAAAACTCTTAGTCGAGACTTGGCTTGCAACTTTTATCATGCTATTCCACACTGCGAATCATTTAAAATCTGAATATTTTGGATAACTCAAGTCTGTCTCTCAAGTTATGAGTAAAATACATTATTGTTATTCCCAGAGTAGAACCTGGAAGATGTTTCACATAGCCAGAAATAAGTTACGTTGTAGTCAGCTTTTCTTTGTGACAGTTTTGGACAGTGCAAATCTCAAAGGGTCAGTACTGGCGGGCTTAGGCTGTCCTCTGGGCCCCATTAAACAATGAGAATCCTAGCAGAAGGTCCCCACTACTGTAAACTGTTGTATGGCAGGATGATAGACTAGTTCACCAAGAATGCTTGCCACTTAATGTACTTTGCAATTTTGTTTCCAAGCCAGTTTAGTTTATTTAAAAATGTGTTTTGAGGTGTGCAGACATTAATTGTAATGTAAACTGCTAACAACTGTCTTTGTGACTTTATAGGCAGGTAAACTTTGCTGTAACTATTGACTATAAATGATACACACTCACTTAGTACCACCATTAGTATCCATTTGATGACAAAGGCTTGAAATATTCATCATGAGTATGAATTTTGAACATGTAAATTAAATTTTCTGGGTATTTGCAAAATTCCTGTTTGTAATAATATTTGGATTCTGACATGTTCAAAATGTTATTTGCTAAGTGATAAATATCTTTGAGCTGTTTCTTAAAATCTAAGGGGAATGGAAAATATGATATCAGACTTTTCTAATGAAACATAAACCCAAGAATAAAAGCCCCTCTATATAAAAAAGGAAACAAAATACATGGATGAAATCTTTTCAGGGGTGCTCAAGCTTTGAAATTGTCTTCATCCATCCAAATGCTCTAATTTTTTTTTTTTCCCTATTCACAACCAGTTGTATAATGGAAACACTCGATACTGGTTTCCCTGCTGCGTGTGAAGTAATGAATCATTGATTATGTGACTTGTTATGTATTCTATTAAACACTAAAGAATAAAACATTCACTCCTTTAATTACTCCTTTTGGCTCCTTGGTATGGATTGGCTAGAATCCTGTTCTAATTTCATTTAAGGAGTTTTGGAAATATTATGAATGCTTTCCACATTGCTATGGGACTGACAGTGAGCAATGCTGTTAGACTATATGATCTCACCAAGTGAATTTCCAGCTGGGCCAGGCTGAATCAGGCTCTTTTCTCTTTTTATTGTTAAGAGTGCATAACAGGCAACCTGATAGTCACTTCAGAAGAAAAGCCTCTTATGAGATTTTTCTTCAATTCTAGTCTTTTCAGCCACTGTTGATAAGGGGGTATGAAAGAAAAAAATGCCCCCTTTAAGTGGGAAGAGACAGAGTAGTAGATACTGCAAGATTTGCCCAAAGTAAAAGTGCAGTTCATAGGAACATAAGGTCCTGATGAGCACTGGCAGGAACAGTGGTCTGTCTGAGACAGGGACTATTTGCAGCGCTGATACCAGGCTTTGAAGTTACTGGGCTTTCTAAAGAAAGCCCAGTGCTACTTGGACTGGGAAATTACAGAAACCAGTGGCTTGCACAGGAAGCAGAGAGTCAGGTGGAGAGAGCAAGCTAGGTTTCGCCCTTCCTCTTTTGCCAGAACTTCCTCTCGGTAGCTTTTGTTTTGTATATATAAACACACACGATTTAGTTTTGAAAATGTCATAGATATGACAAAAAAAAAA